CATATTGTCAAAGAAACCAAAAAAAGTGAGACAAACATACACCTCAACATAAACGTTATAAATAAGGGTCCAAGTGAACTTTTTTTTTTTGGGAGTAAAGACCTTCTGATTTGTTTGAGCGTCCATGTAGCTTTTTTCAAGTCTCTAGTCCAAGTCCATGTTGTAGTTAGCTTGTGTGCTAGCGGCAGCCGCAGCCCTCCACTACCATTTCCTGATAGTTTTTTAGGACCACCTTGTCATGTTCATCTAGGTAGAGCATGGAGATGGCGCTGAGCTCTGTTGGCACGCAGCAGGCCTTGGGAATGTTGTTGTTCACAGAGTTCACCAGTGTCTGAACAATGGCATGGTTGGTTGAGTTCAGATGATCTGCCAGAGGAAAGGGGCATTCCCCATGGCAGTAATAAGCCTGGTAACCAGGGGGCGCCACTATCCAGTCATTCCAGCCTACGTCGCTAAAGTCCACGTACAGTGCGTGGCGTCGGCAGTTGCGGTTGCGTTTGCGGCCCCGCTGCTTGGGGCTGCGCTTGGTCCGGCGGGTCAGTGGGTGACCCTTCCCGTCGTGGCCAAAGGTAACCAGGAGGGGGCGCAGCTGCTCCCAGTCCTCACCAGGCTCCTGGTGTAGTGAGCGGCTGATTCGGACGTGTCGGCCCTGGTGACGCGGTGTTTGGTTGAGGTGTTGCACCTCCACAGCCAACCCGTAATTTGGGAGGCGCTCACGAGTCCAGCGCAGCACGGCAGGGCTGACGTCAAAGCTCTCCCATTGTGATGCATTTTGGCGCACGAGCCGTGTATCCAAGAGCTGCATGATGAGCTGCCCGGGCCGCGGGGGCTTCAGCACCTCATACACGTTTATCCGGTGAAGCCCCTTCTCGTCTGAGAGGGCGTCAGCGATGGCCTCATCAATCTGATGACGGTAGAGCCTAAGTTCGGCGGAAGAGAGCAGCTCGTCCTCCGGGATGCTGCTGAGGTTGAACAGGAAGCGAAAGGGTGTGGTCTCACCAACGTCCAGCTCGTGCACCTTTTCCATGTGCTCTGAAAATGAGAAGAAGGAGAAATGTTAGCTCAAGTGAATAATTCCATAATGTTCAGTGTTGGTTATATCACATGTGTAAAAAAACAAACATAACTTTGACATTAAGACTTTGAAGTTTCCACGACGACACTGAGAGAACCAGCAGATATAACAATTAAACGCTGCTTTTAGTTGTGCTAGCCTCAGATTTTCACACTTCCTACATGTTTTTATCTGACACAAAAAGGATGTGCAGCATACGCACACTTTTCTCGGCTTCTGCAGTACTCAACAATATAAATATACAGCGTCCACGCTTCCTTATCTATCTCCACGGATTATCCAGCCCTTCTCTCAATGCCTTTCTCCGAGCACTTTGCTGAAACACGCATTACAAGGAGGGTGGTGATTAACGTACCACAGCTACAGTATAAACACAGTGGAGGCTCCCTGTTCCACGCTCAGTCTGCAGATTTCTGGCAAGATCACCATTGTTGGGGAAAGGAATGTTGTGTCTACTATTTTCCTGCTCAATCCACCCCTGTTATTTCACACCCAGGCTCTAATCTTACCCAGGTGGTTCTCATTATTAAAACCTGCTGTGTTTTTGATTAGCTCCGCAGTTTGTTCACTTAAGACATTTATCATTTTCATCATGAATAATCATTAAGGAGTCAAACAATACAGTAGAATCTCATTTATCCGAAGCCCGTGGGGGTGGGGGGGTCTTGCAAACGAATGTGGTGCATTCGGCTGATTCAAATTTTGTACGCGTTAACCTTCTCATGTGCTTTGTCGTTTAATTCATAAATGTGAAAAATGAGGACACGTCTCCTGTTACACACATTTCTTGCGGAATTCTGAATTAGTAGTTGCATGTTTTACCGTCCCTGTAGAAACGTCTCCTCACCAAAACTGTCTGTCTGCTTCAGACTGTAATACCTCACCATGTTTTGGACAGATCAGCCAACTGAATCACACTATCGCACAATGGTGCTCCCATGAAAGCAAGCACTCCTACTCAAAAGACCTCAAAGCGTATTATTAACATAGTTTAGCAGAGGAGAAGGAGGGTAAATGCCTGTAGAGAGCAGTCGGAACACGCACACACACACACACACACACATTCTCACACACGCATGCATACATGCACGTACACATTGCATCACAGGCACAAGTTCCTCCTTCAGCGGCGGTGCTCTTTCTTCCTCTCCTGCACTGGTACGTTGCCATGTTGGTGTGTGTTGGCGTGTGTTACCACGAGCAGTGTGTTTGACAAGCCCCATTAAGGCTGACTCATCCCTCCTTCCTCACTCCTCCCCCTAAGGGTGGACATGTTCTGGAGCCCTAAAGCCCCCCGGTTCTCTCAGTTCACTACGCCACAAGGTCACTCGCTAACTCTCAGCTCCGGTTCTCTCTGCCGACGGCTTCTTAAGCGTTCACCCAATGCGCTTCAGTCTGCCTTTCCAACCTCAACATAGATTTAACAGATCAGTCAACCTGGAGTTTCTCCTGGCCTAATTGAAACGTCTGCAGCTGTCGCTAAAACTAAGCAGATCCAAGTCACAATAAACAGAAACCCTTCTAACATTCCAGCCTTTCTATCGCACCAGCTCCTGAGACTGTTTTTCCATCTCTCCCGAGAGCTGCAGCGTCTGCTCTCAGCACCCACATTGTTGGCAGTAGGGGCTTTATTTAGAAGGCTGCAAGAGTAGCATTAAAGATAATTGCACGTTGAGGAAGGTCCCTCTAAAAGAGCCCTCCATATAAACTGGAGACATGAGACATGAGAGAGGAGCACACTCCAACTCCAGGCCAAGACTGCAGCTTTTTTAAGCCATGTTCTGCTGGGTGGGGTGAGAAGTGCAAGTCAGTAATATGGAGGCATGCTTTTCTTTCAGCTGCTAACCAAACACGCAGAGTTTTGTCAAATGAGGCTCTTGAGAGCTTGTCTGGCAGATTTTTTTGACCCTCTTTAGACAGTGTTCGGTGACCACATCCTTAGATTCCTTGGTTATGGTGTGATGGGTGGAGCTGTCTCACAGTCTTGTTTCAAGGGATGTAGGAAATGTTTTTTAATCCGGAAAACTTACCAGTTGTCAACGATGCTGATGAAATATAATACTACTAAAGTTATAAGAATGCCTGGCAACCGTGACCTTGATTATGCAAACATACTCCTTTGTTTTTCTCCTTACCTTCATGGTGGAAGCCCCTCACAGTGTTCGCCCGGCTGGCTGACCTCTCTGGGTACTCAAAAGCGATGTCATGCCCTCCAGCCTCCTCGGCCTCCCCCGACTGCAGGCGGTAGAGGTCCAGCAGGTAGCGGGGCACAGTGGTGGAGCGGCTGGGCCGCGGCCGCCTCTTGAGGCCGAACATGTGCAGCAGCGTGGCCTCGAAGTCCCGCAGCAGTTCATGGCTCTGAGCGGCCGAACGACCCTGCAGGCCCGGTACTTTCTTTTTTCCTTCTTCAGGTATCAGACTAGCATGGTTGCTCTCTCCCAGCAGGACTTGGCATATTAAAATGACCATCAGCATTCGATTACCAGGAATCATGATGTCTCTGGGGGGAGCAGCAGATGGCACAGGGAATTATTAGGAGAGAACTGGAAAGAGCAAAGAGGAGGAAAACACAACAAGGGACAAGGAAAGGAGAGAAAGGCCTTTGTTTTAAATGACAGAAAATATTTGCTTGTTTTTATGCTTTTTCCTCCCTTTCATCGCCATCTCCTCTGTCCCCACTGAAGGCAGCTCTGATTGGTTTTAATACTCCGATTTGCCTTGTTTAAACCATCGCTGATCAGATCGGCCACTTGCCGTTTGGCGAGATCTTTTATAGGTAAACAGCCAACTTTTTTTAATTGAATCTAAGAGCCATTCCTATTCACTCCCCGGAGTCTGTTCCAGCAAACCATGGGGCAAACCTTGGGCTATTTAACAAAAAAAGCTCTTCCTCATGCATATACATTATTGTAAGTGCTGTTGAATGCCACTTAAATATATTAATAGTTAGACGGAGGAGGAAGAGGAAAACGTGAGATACTGAAATTGAAATGAAAAGGTCCACTTACTTACCGACAGAAAATAAAGCATGGGAAAACAGTCCATGTTTGTTGGGAGCGGGCGATGGACACGTTTTTCCAGGAAATGTTAGGTGGTGTTGGGCGGCTGCAGGAGAACGTTGGAGTGGCCCTGTTCCTGAAAGACACAGATAAAAACATACATGAAGCGATGGCAATCGCAAACAAGTCAGGCAAGAAGTTGGAGAAATGTGCGTGCATCTGTGTCAGTGTGTGTTTAAGTGGGCAAGAGAGAGACCCAGTGTCTCTTTAAGGCTTATCATTTTGGCTCATGGGCTAAGCTAGCTATTTACTGTAGCTGGAATGTAAGGAGGTATGTGCCACAACACAGAGAGCAGATCCCCAACGCCTCCAGAAAACACACCTCGACTATTTCAGAAATTAAGCAGAAACCTTCAATGAGAGAGAGAAAGAGAGAAAAAACCATCAGATAACGGCCAGATTCAACTGAACAAAAACTGAAGCTACCCTCTCATGTTCACACACACACACACAGACCAAAGAGCTGATAACTCCACTTTGATCAGGAGTGGTAAAAATCCATACCCAAAAGAAGAGGGCGGCGAACTCCATCTCCAAGTGAACTCGCCAAACCTTTATCCGTCCAAACAAATGAAATCAGCTATTCTACACGAGGCGTTTAAATAGATGCATCTCAAAAGGGCCTCATCTCTTAGTAACGCTCCCCTACTTGAGGGATCAAACAGGTTGTAGTGACGCTGATGACAGGCCTCCTGCTCTTTGACATCACTGTCATCAGTGGGAGAGTCGTACGCTCAGAGCTGGAGTATGTGCGGCGTGTTGCAAGGGGCAAATTTGTCGCTAATGAAGCAACACCATCGATGTTTAAGCACCAGCAGAAAACACATGGGATTTTAGGGAGCGGCATCTCCAAATAAAATCCTTGAAAATGATTCCGTAAAAAACGAAAAAGATTATTCAACAGCTTTAACAGTCCCCTCGCTCCTCTGTCGGATTTTACAAGCGCTGCAGTGTGGCTGCAATGATTCAATTCTATTACACGTCATTTAAATGTTTTAAACGCTGCTGACTCACACTAATAAAATTACAGAATTTCTGACAGTCACCACCACCACAACACCGGCACCACAGAGCAGACATTTTAACTCTGGAGCGATGCAGGGCTTTGGTCATCATTTGGAGCCTGTTCTTGCTGGAGTGCGCCCAAGCATTACTACACAGTGAGGATGCACATTAACGCTGTGTGTGTGTGTGAGAGTGTGTTTAATTTACGTTTTGTGTATTTAAGTGTGTGCGAGCAATGTTGAGCTACGTATCTTTGTGATTATCTTGGCCCCTGCATGGCTCACTGTACATGCAATCGAGGGTCTTTTCCCTAACAGCATTATACTTTGACCTCCGATTGACCCCCCACCCCCTTTTTTCCCTCGGTCATGACACTAGATCCAGTGTGTGCGAGGAGAAGGTGATGTGCAGTGTGTGAGTGGGGGCATGAGCTAAACGACATGCATGCACGGTTGTCTGTATGCACACACAAGTGTGTGCCACCGCTTGAATGTTTGTGAGAACTGTGGCAAAGAGAGAGAGGAGGGTTCAGAACATGATCAGCTCTATTACCCAAGGGGTGGGGGGTGGGGGGTAATGTGTGTGTGTGTGTGTGTGTGTGTGTGTGTGT